TTGTTGAAGTGCATTTGAAAATTTTGTTTTTTTGCATTTAAATCGATGAAGGGTTTTCTAGCATTGGATGAGGTTTTTTCTCTTTTATTGGGCTTAGGGGAGTTTTTGTGTACCGTTATTTGAAGTGTCAAGGTTTTAGGACTTTGAAAACTACTCGAACAAACAAAATTCGGGGACTGAATCAGCTGTTGCAGAGGAAACTGTTGAGATAGGGGAGGACAGTGTAGATGTGAAAGACTCTAAAGGTGCTGATTATTTCGCTCCGAGAAGTGAAGACGATTACGTTGAGTGTGATCACGGGAGAAACAACGGAAAGTCTCGGGCAGAAAAGAAGGATATGAAGGCTCGCAAGCGGAAGAGGTAAATAAGCATATTTTACCTTTCCTTCTGTTTCACGCGCGTGGCATCAGTCATTCTGAAAGATTTGTAGCCGTGGAGCTATAGAGTCGTCGATGAGTGCAACTCAAGATTCTGTGAGGGTCATTAGAACAATGGAGGATATCGAAAAAATAGTTAGTTGGTTCATTTATCTTTTGATTTTATTTGAACATATTTCCTTTGTTTAAAAACTTGTTTTTTCAGCACGATAAAGCTGAAAGACGTACCGCGTTGAAGGAATGGAGAACAAGAGAATTGAGATTATTGCTGACCTCAAGCGTCACTGATGAGCAGATAAATGAAATTGTGAAAGCTGAGTTTTTTGCAGAAGATGCTGCTTTTTATGCAAAGGAGCTTAGTCGTAAAGCTGCATCTTCTCTTGAGTGCGCAAAGAAAGCTGACCAGGAAGCCAAGAAAGTACGGGAAGTTGCTGATAGATGTGACATTGAGGCTTGCAAGGCACAAGCTGATGCATCAGATGCATCACTTAAAGCTGCAGATGCGGCTGCAAAACTAGCTGAAGTTCATGCAGCTTATGGGGTTCCAGTTGTTGGTCTCGCAAAATCAGAGAAGGGTGCACATAAATCAAGAAGAAGATCTGGTCATAAATGTCGTAGTCAGAGTAACAGCTAGTCGAAAAAACCACTGATTATGTCTCCTAGTGAACTAAAAACGTATAGGTTCCTATCTTCTTTTCTCTACTTTTAACTGTTTTCAATTAATACAAGGCGTACCGTGGTTATCTTGCCGTTTAGGTGATCATGGTGTTCTTTCCCTTCTCAGCAGCCACTTCGACGGCAGGGCGAGGGTTAAAGGTGGCGGCGGGGTAGGGAAAGATGTTGTATCTTTCAAGATTTTTTTATATTCGAAGGTAAAGATGGTAAGGGAAGTTAATGGATTTGTCACTTGTGAACATTTGTCTTTTACTGAAGGTTTTAAGTGGTATGGACTGTTGTTATGTTTTTTTAGCTTTCAAAGTGTGGTTTTAATAGGTTCTTAGTCTGTTTCGGGACTAAAACAGTGGAAGAAAAGTAGTAAGATAAAAGTTTAAAAACATTTCATTTAATGTGATTTACTGATTTGAAAAAAACGAAGTGGGTTGTTTGTTGAAATGTCATATTGTAGTTTATTAGCCTAACGAAACTGTTTAGCACTTTGATTGTGATTTTTTCGAGACTACAGTGTTTTTGCGCTGGACTTTTTGGTTTAATGATCGTCGCAATGGCATTAAAGCATTGCTACCTGTGAGTAACTGGCGCTTTGCGATTGTAGTACCTCATTCCGACTTCCTTTTGCTGTTTTTTTTTTGTTAAACAATGCAACTATTAATGGGCTCAAATTGTGCCGTTTGTTTTTTTAATTCATATTGCTGAACTTGAGAGATGCTTTGGATGTATAAACTTTGTTTTCAATTTTTTATGTTGTTTTTAATTCTTTGTGTTAATTAGAAGTATTTTAAATTAATTTTTCCTCGCTGTGAAAGTCAGGTTTTTTCGATGGTTTTTTTTTTTTTTTTGAATCGCAGTTTTTGTGCAGAAACTTTGCCAGATGTGGTTGGTTTTAACATTTGGTATAGTTCTCAGTTAGCGTCGAAAGTAATTGAATCCTATTTTTTTTTTTTTCGAGGTTTTGTTTGTTTGGACCGGTACTAATTGTGTTACAGTTTTATAGCTTTTAGTGAATTCCTTGTTTTGTGGCATGGGTAGTACAAACCGCATTATAAATTCGGTTTTTTTGATACGACAAGCAGTTTTGTGATCAGCATAATTAATTGCTTTTCTTACTGTAAAGTCTTAAATCACATTGTCTTCTTTGCTTCAGTTGTTCATCTTTGTTTTACAAATACGTTCTTTTGTTTTGTGAATAGGCAAACATTCTGTTCATATGGGTAGTAAAAATTCCAACTCATTTTTGGAATAATATATGTATATATACATGAGTATATAACTCTAAATTTCGTGATTTATTGCTTCCGTGTTTCTTTTTTTTTTTATAAGTTTTCAAGGTTATTTAACTGTTTTAATTTTGATTATACTTGGTTTAGAGGTGCAAGTTATAAAGTTTGGGCATTGAGATTTACTATGATTTGGTGAGTCTTCAGTCAGTTTTCCTGTTTTCTTTATTGATTGTACCGATTTGACGACTGTATTCAGCATTTGTAAATAAACAGCTTTCAGAAATGTAGCCGTAGTTGTTTTGAGCGCTACGTGTGTGCTTACTGTTCATATATTACATAAATAAATAATATTTCTGGTAGTGATAAAATTAGACGTTGTTTAAAATGTTTCTAGAGTCCCTTCAGCATTCTTGGACTGATATGTGTGTTATTTACAACAGTTACTATAGCATAACAATATAGGGTTTTGAGGGACGTTTTAGCCACTGGGTGACGGGTTGTCGTTTGATCTCACCAAGCTGCAGAAGTTGAGGAGTTGTTTTTCAGTAACTAAAGGTTACCATAATTTTTGAATAACTAGAAGTGTATGTTGTTTGGTTGTGGTGTTATCGACTGCGATTTTTAAAAGACAAGTGTCGTTAAATTTGCTGATTTGAAAGTTAATTTGTTCTGTGCATTTGAACTTTTTCTGCCTCACGGTGCGTAAAGGTGGGAAGTAAAGTTAAATTTGTGGTGATGAGTTATTTTCCAGTGCTTCAGGGAAACAGACAGTTTTTAGCGACGGTTGTTGAACGTATTCAACGAGCGGAAGAAACTGTCGAACTGGCTGATACGCCAGGTTTTGTGAAAAAATCTTTTGTTTTTCAATTTTAATTGTCATAAGGACTTGTTGAAGCGAAATGTTGAGATGAACTTGGAAAAGGTCAATTTTGATATCATAATTGGTTGAAATGTAAGTCCTAACTTTCTCCTGGGAAGTTTTTTTTTGGTCACCGTATATTCGCTATTTGCAGCTTTATCTGTTGATAGTTCAGCTCCTCAGCCAGCATCGCTGATCATTCGACTATGTCATCGCTGTTTTACCAAAATGGATACAGGCCATCGTGCAATTTTTGTGTGGACGTTGTTGCTCTTCGTTCTTATATTTTTGGTCGTGTATTTAGTAAGTTACTTTGCTTTTATTAGTGGATATTCGAGTATTTTGTTATAACAGTTGATTTTAAGTTCCATTTTTTCAGTAGTTTGTTTTAAGAGACCCTCGGTAACTATAAAGATTTAGCTTATCAAGCTCATTTTCTTGAAATTCTAATGAAATTCCTTGTTTCAGGACGGTGGACTAGACCAAGAAACACTGATCTTTTTCTCACTTTTGTGGTTTTTTGATTTCCTTTCTGTCACAGAAGTTGCAGCAGGAATAGTACGTTACTATAGGATTCGGTGCTCTGATCAAAGTGCTGGTCGAAGAACTGGTTCTTTTTTTGATGTCCGGAAGACCATTATCACCATTGGTAATTGAGTTTTTGTTTGGTTCTTGTCTTTCGTTTCAGATTGTTGATTTTTAGAAGAAATAATACAACACAGCGGTGTAGTTCAGATTGATAATTTATATATATTTTCAAATGTCAGTATTCAAATTTCAGTACTGCTGCTTTTGAAGGCAAGCTTTGAGCTGCTTTTGTACGGTCACTTACGATTCGGGTACCTTTCTTTGGTGTGGGTCATGTTACCACTGTGGCTTTTTCTTGTCATTGTTATTTTTCAAATGTCTGTATATATTATGCGCATACACCAGAAATCTGTTTCTGAAGAAAGTCGTTAAACATTTGAATATTCTTTTTTGCTTGTTGCTTGCAAACATTTTTTAACTATTGTTTTTCAAGGTCCATTTTCGAAAAATAGACTTTCTAGCAGTAGATTCTAGGAAAGTTTTGTCTATTAAAAATCCTTAACACATTTAGCACTAATTCTTTTGGGATGTAGTGTTGTAAATCTTTCTTTTGATAAGTAATTTGGTATATATTGTGGTACGTTGTTGCTGGTTTAACTGTTTTACTAACTGTTTTAGGTGTAGTGGTAATCCTTTGCCTAATTTCACCTCACTTTGTTATGTTGTTCAAGAACTCCACGCTTGCTAAATTGCTATCTGAATTGACTTTATGGCTCTTTTAATAAATGAAGGTTTTGTGGGTTGACGGCTTAGTAGTTTTTTTCTGGGACAGCTTATTTTGTATGGTGCCGGTTCTGTGATTTTGCTGCGCTACAGCATTGAAATGGATTTTACTCAAATTTGTGTTCAAGAATGTACAAAGTCACTTTTTCCCTTGTTTATTACATTCTGTTTTAGGAGATTACGAAATTACTATTTATGTACTTTGCTAAAACTTGATAAAGCTTCAAAATTAAAAGTCCCATAATGGGAAGTCTAAGTTTTGCCTCTCCCAAAAAATACTTTAGCAAAATTAAAGCATGGGTAGGAATTTGATAAAAAGTCTGAAATGGTGGGGAAGTAGGTGAGTGCTGGGAGCTTTTATGGAATGACTGACAAATGGTAACTAACTCACAGGCACTGTATATTACAACTAAAGGAACTGAATTGAGGCCAAAACAAGCTGATTACTGCTGTGACTGAATCCAAAAATAAATTCCTTTTCATAATCTCCACCGTCAGTAGAGTTAGACAACAGAAATCACTGACATGGCTCCCAAGTTACGGAGCCTTAGTGGTGTACTACTTCTCGGGAGCTCTTCAAAGTAAAAAATTTTAGTTTGTTTCAGCCGGTATTGCAAGTTTTCCATTACAATTCCTTCACGTCTTCAGACCCTCCAGTCTGTTTTTTTCATCAATACCAGAACTTCAATTTTACAATTCCGACTTCCGGAAAATCTTCTTAGGAAACAAACTCCACTTGCGTCAACGACCGCTTTGTTTATTACCCTGAAAAAGCTTCCATGAGTAATGTAGGAAGTTGGGCAGTACCGACCGTCTAGAAACACCTATCTTTGTAAAGTAATAACACTTTTTAAAAAAACAACAAGGAATCTAATGACTAGCGTAAGCGCATTATCTGAAAAATAATGGTTGCCGTTCACAAATAAGAAGAACGATAGCTTTTGTTATAACATTGAATGCTGGACGAAGCTGCTGCGTTGGCACAGGTTACTGGAGATGAGGATCTCCAACACGCGTAAGACGGGAACGCTGCAAAGTGGCCGACAAGGAACAAAAATAAAACTGATTTGGCAGTGAAATCCTGACGTATTCAGCGACAAGTGATTGTACTCCTCAAGCTGCTAATGTCACTAACATCCAGGCTTTCAGCTGGCAAACCTTGCGGTGAGATTAAAGCGTTTCTCGCGAAATTCGCCGTCGTTGCTGGCATGCAAAACCTCTTATAGAAGATGAGGTCAGCACAGGCTTAAGCAGCTTCTCTAATTAAAGCATCCTATGTTATCGGCAGCGCTGTACGGTGACATATGGCGGTGTTTCCTTTTAGGGCATACGCATGAGAAACGCAAAGCTTAAATAACCAATTTTGCTGGCGGTCAATTTCCCATAAAACGCTCTAACACCTCTTCTCTCAAAACGCCTTTTCAAGCTCCATTCACGCTCTGTTTCTGCGAAAATGGAGAAATGGGAGTACCAGCAGGGTCGTTCGTGACCTTACTGATCATGAGTAGCCGAATTTTTAGGTGTACTACTGATTAGTACGTGGTTTTCGGTAGGTCGGTCGAGCACAGAGGTTCCGGAATTACGTGGTGTTATCTGGAACACTGCCGATCTGTAGCGGTGGGTTACCAGATCGACGAAGGGGATGCAGGATTGAAGAGACCTAAGGGTTTGGTAAGAGGAATCGAGAGGAATTGCTTAGTTTGTGAGGTTCCCGTGCCTTCCCTCAAGCCAACTTTCAATTCGCCTTTCGCTCTTTGTTCAGTATTACTGATTAGACGTCGTTGACGTATATTTAGTGGCCATACTTTGCTTTGGTTTGCAGACAATTATGAAAAACTACGAATATGGTCCCAATAATGGCTCTTTGCGAGATGTTATACTTCTTTATTCAATAAGGCTT